AAATTATAAATATGTGTGTGTATATATATAAACTATTTATATATGTATGTATACTTATATATGTAACAGTGCTCAGAATGCCACAGGACTTTTTGAGTTTTCTGTACTGGCCCAATACATCCACGTTTCACTGAAATGAAGCCTTAACTGCACAGATACAGCATCTTCATAACAGCTTCCCCCTGCTCTATACTTGAGGATGGAAAACAAGCAAGGCTTCACCCAATTGAAGCTACTAATGTCAATTCCCAAACCTGGCTCAAGCCAGATGCTAGGGTAATGCCCCATCTTACCAAAAAAAAAAAAAAAGAAGCAAAGAAACAGGCATAAGCTGTGAGGAATCCGAGTCTTACCTCCTGACCTGTGGACTGCAGTCATCTCAGCACAGCAATGCTGGGCTGATGCAGTGATTAAGCTCTGAGTAAGGATCCAAACTTCACCTGCTGGGTCACCTACCAGCATGTTGCTACAGCAACCATGGTGTTCCTTAGACTGCTGATGTTCTTGTAGCCAAGGCTGAGAAAAGATTATCTTGAGGGGAATCAGAGGACTCTTTATAACTCAGACCTAGTCAGTCTTTATAGCTCTGCCACAGCTTCCTGTTTGACATTTTGGAAAGCATTTGCTCATCTCTGCCACTGGGTTTGTCTTCCACCCAACAGGGAGGGCTGGGATAATTTTGCCCTCTTTTGAGGGCATAACACCAAGTGCCTGCATAGCACATTCTGGCTCCTCAAAAGGGAGGTGTGGTTGAGGTACAAGGAGTTGGGAGAGCACATTATGTGCAGCTTTGCTAATTTGGGAACTTCTTTTTGTGTCTGGGATGATGGGTAGGAATGTTCCCTCTCTCAGAACTTGCTCATCAGTAGAGAGGATGGATGACTGACTTACTTCTCAAGTGACTGACATCTGCTTTCATCTTCTCCTCTTTCTCCTTGTTGCAATCCAGAGAATTTAAGCCTTGCTCCAAGCTCTGCAATGCTTCCTCAGCTTCTCTCAGTCTCTTCTCCAGATCCATACGCACCTTCACCTCAGCCTAAGGAACAGAATAAGCATTGCTGAAAAACAGCTTGCGTCTCAATAACCATCCTGCTAACTCACCAGGCCAGTGAGGGACCCACCAAGCAGGTGAAAATGAAAAGACAACAGTAAGGAAAACCAATAGAAATATTGTAAGACAACATAAAAGCTGTTCCTCATGTCTTCAGATAGAACCTGAATTTGAAGTCCAGATTATTTCAGTAATTCTCCTTTACTCTGACTTTCATTTTCACAGCTTCCCTCTCATTGTATGAACCATGTGGAATCAGAGATGTATTTCAACACGTGAATTTGTGCTTATGCAAGTACTTGCAGCTGAGCAGGAACAGGAGGACATCTTCCCAGCTGAGATGGACTTGAGATAAAAGCAGTCAATTCCCACAAAGGGGTGTGCAGTACATAGTTTCAGAAACAAAGCACAAGAAAAGTTAGAAATAAAAGATAACAACAGTAGTAGCTTAGCAGATGAGAGTAACTAATACAGCTTAGGTCAACTTAGCTTTAGTTTAGCCAAGTGGAAGGTTACAGGATAAGAAAATCTTGGAGGTGCAGAAAAAAGAAGAATTGTGCTCTTTTTTGGACGAAATATTTGTAGAAGAAGGTTGAGTGTCAAACAGCAAATAAAAAGCATCAACTTTACATTATTTAGATTAAAATAAAATAGCATACTTTGTCCAATTACCTTTGCGTAGATTGAGGTATCTTCCATTACTGAGATAACAAAGGAGGGCTGGTACCTCATCTGCATTCCTCAGCTTTTGAACCCAAGTTCATGCAGAAGTTCCTGAAGATTTACAAATCTTAAGATCGATTCTCTGAGCACAAGTGAGGAGGGAAGATTTCTGCTCAGTTCTGCAATGTCCCTCTTAGCATTTCTTTGAAATAATCTTTATTCTTGATTGTGTCTACTTTCCTCTTTAACTTTTTTTTCCTCCCTCCATCTTTAGATGATGCTTTCACAGTAGTAAATTAAAAGACTTTTACTGAATGGGTTAATCAGGCCTCAGAATGAGAAAATAAATAGTAGTGCTACATAGATACAACATGGCAACTTCACGTGTTACCATGATATGAAGCATAGCAAATGAAGATTTGCGACTACAAAATGCAAACAAAATAAAAACCAAGTCTCCCACTTGATAGGGGATGAACTGAAAGGGAAAATGAGAGAACTCTGGGCACAGGGACAACAATATGCGACATACACAGGGGATACCTTGAGGTCTCTCTCTGTCTGCTGCTTCTCCGCGGTCAGCTCCGAGAGCGAGTTCTGCAGCGCTTGCGACTGGGAGGAGTAAAACTCCCTCTCCTCCTCCAGTGCTCGGGACCGCTCCTCATTCTCCTTCATCCTGGTATGTGGCACAGCAAAGGAAGACAACCATTCCCACCCCAGCACAACCCACAGGAGGGAAGGGGCTCAGTATCCTGATGGGGCATGCTTAACTACCTGGCTGCCCTGAGCAAAGAGGCACTAACAGGAGCACTGTCTGTGTGTCACTTCAATAACACAGGCATTGCTGGAGAAAGCTAGGTGGGCAGCTCTTGGATGGAACATTCTCAACCCCAAGATGAGGTCCAGGAGCACCAAACACTTCTTATGGACAAGTCCATGAACACCAAATGGATTCACATGCATAAGTCCTGATTTGAAAGGAGCAAGCCCAAGCGGCAGCGAGGAGTTCAGCTGCCCTGCCTCACTCTGTCCCCTCTGAAGTGTTTATAACCTGAAATCCTGCCATGGGAACCAGACAAGCTTCCAGACTTGCCTTGTGTTGGCAATCAAAAAGCAAGTCAGCAGACAGTCATGTCATTTGGCATCACTAAGAAGGGCAGAAGTGTCCTCTTCCCTTTACCACACCCAAGAATGGAAATTATAAGGGATCTTGCCTCTCTGCAGGTCTCAGGATAAACAGGGGAACAGTTTTGAAGTGATCCTAATTTTAAGCCTGGAAATATTTAGCCATACCCTTTCTGATTGCCTCCCACCTGCAAGGAGGAAAACTACCCCTTTTCCTACCACCCTCTTCACACTGGATCGCATCTTCTCCCACATCCTGTCTCTGGTACCACCGTAAGAGCCCCTGTCCCCACTTCACCTCTTCTCTGCCAGGAGTTTCTCCTCCAGAAGTTGCTGCATCTTCTCTTCAATCTGTCGTAGGCTGCAGTGCAGTCCCCAGATGGGGCTTTGCTCCTTGCTGGGGGTGGTTGGAGGTGGGAGCTGGCTCTCATTTTCTTCCAGCATCTCCAGCATTTGCTGCTTTTCCAGGGAGAGCTCCTTGAACAAGGGCAGGGATTGTGAGTATCAGCCAAGTCTAACATTTCTGCTCCTGTTCCTGCCTGGCTCCTCCCTACCGAGTCCCTCTATCCTTACATCCACATGCTTCATTCAGGTTAAAAACAAGAATAACAAAATGTGGTTTTCATTTCATACCTGCCTCATGAGGAGCAAGCATCCACCATAGCCTTTGCTATGCAAGGGGGCAAGAACCTGCAAGCTCCTTTGACATGATATGCTAGTAAGGACCTAGTTCGGGACTGGAGCCTTGTGCTTCCCTAGCTCATCACTGATGCAGGCAGCTTTCCTGCCTTCCCTCCTCGCCTTGCTCCTCAGTGTGAACTAGAGGTATCCCCTCTGTGGTACTTCTAACTGTGGGGCAATAGGACATATCATGCTGTTTTCCTGTGAAGTGTTCGGTCCCATGTGCAACTAGGGCATGAACGGTCCTTCCCTAGCTTTCCAGTTCTTTTTTCATACCCGTAACTGTGGGAAAGGAGAAGAGCTCAAAGGAACATCAGCAACAGATTTTTGGACAAACTTGCAGGATCTGACACGAACATTAAGGATGACATTGAGGCTTCAGAACGCCAGCTGCGTGGGAATTTCACAAACAACATACATTTAGAAAAGCCACTTCCCACCAATCCACCAGAGTGATACCAAGTAAGGAAAGGGTTTAATACATCAGCACTCCATTTCCTAAATTCCTATGTGGTAAATGATTCCCTGGGAACCATGCTTCCTTCTGTAAACAAGGAATGCCTCTCTGCTGCTCCAATTTCCACCAGACTTAACTTTTGCAGTTAAAAAAACAAAACAAAAAAAACCGAACAAGAAAAAATATCAGAAAGCTATCACAGACTTATAGCCATGTTGGCTGGAAGGGACCCCTCTCTGATAGGCTCTAGTCCAGCCTTCCTGTTCAGAGCTGGTCTGTCAGCACAGCAAGGCACGGTCAGCTGTGCCTTTCTACAGTTGAGTTGTGAAAACCTTCCAAGATGGAGGTTCCTCAGTCTCTCACGCTGCCTGCCTACCTGTCTAGTGAAAAGTCTCTCCCTAGTGTTCAACCTGAGCTTCCCAAACTCCAACTTATGGTTATTGTCCTACACCACATCACCTGGTACTGCTGAGAAAAGTTTGGTTCTGCTGGGCTCTGTGTCACGTCTAGTCCTTTTCTGCAGGGGATTTTGGCCTTCATATCAGCTACCGAATGAACCTGTTCATCCGCACAGGGCTTAACTCCGGCACTAGCGGATGTTGGATTCATTTCACGGGACAGCACTGCTTTCAGCCCTGGTCTGTTCTCATGAATCATTCCCAAAATGCTGTCACTCAGAGGGGAGAAGTAGTCACTCACCTCTAGGGTTTTCTGTAAGGACTGTGTCAGGCTTCGCAGCTCTTTCTTTTCTTCCTCCACTCCTTTAAGGGAGCGGGCTGTGAGCTCTAGCTCCCTAAAGAAGCAAAAAGGGTGATAGCTATTGCAGGGGAACACTAGCCCCACAGACCACACTCAAGACTGCGCAAGCTGTGGATCTCTTAGTGCAGGACCTGAGACCAGTGGTTGGTACAGGCAGCCCTGGAGAATTAGGAGCTTGCCAGGAAGCATCATGCCTTGCACATACTACAGGCGTCCAGGAACTTTACTGTGCCTCCTGATCATCAAACCAAAACCAACTGTCAGTCTGCTTTTCTAGCAAGGGCAGGGCCACGGTTGCAACTGGAAGAGCTCAGACAAGGCAGTCAGATCTAAGTAGAGGTAGGTCTATGAAAACAAAAATGGTTTGCAAGATCACACTAGCTTTTCTGAGATGTTATTTAGGGAGAGAAAAGGAAAAAAAGACGTGCCCTTTCAACACTCAGGGCAAAGCACTTGGATCCTTCCCTTTCTAAATACATTTGCTGTTCATATTTTGTATAGCGTAACTCTTAAAAAGATAAAATTATTCTTGGTGAGGCAACTTCAGCGTGCTTCCAGTGTCATTCAGCTGATGGTGGAAAACCAGATTCAGATATCTGGAGCCCACATGGCTGGTCAGTCAATCAAATGAACTGCCTCTCTGAAATCCTCGAGCACTTGTCTTTTGCCATGCTACCCCAACTAATCTGGGGTCTGCTCATGTCCCAGCCCTTTGAAAATGAAGTTGCTGGAGCCCTGAACGCAAAATGAAACTAAGCTGTATTCTATTGGTCATACAAGTGATAGCAAATGCAGGTAAACAGATCTCAACCGTTCCTGTTTCAGCCCATATAGCATTTATCTCATTCCTACATGCACAAAATAGGTGGATTTTATGAACCATTTTGATTCACCACCACAGCAGCACTTCTGCCCAGTGTGGGAGTTCGTGTCCTTTTCCTGCCCTGCACAGTTTGCCACCTTACCGTCTGATCTGTTCCTGCTCCAGCCGCAGCTCCCGTACCACCTCTTCAAACCGGTGCTTCTCTGCTTCCAGGACCTGGTTCAGACGCTCGAGTTCCTGGACCAAAAGAGAAGACAAGAATGTACTCTGCTGACACGCTTACAGTTAGGAAAAGCTTCCCTGTTAACAATTCCTGGGACTTTAAACCTCAGCTATGTAGAGCGATGGGGTGTCTGATTCCACCACACTTTTGTCCAGAGGCAATTAGAAGGGATTGAAGGCTGGTTGAGGATTTCCAGACATCCAGAAGTCCCAGCCAGGTTACCAGGCACCTGGAAATCCCAGGCATGCTCCCTGCACAGATCAGCTCTGCTGCACATATACAGAAGGTCCAAGGCTCCCTGGGAAAGCTGGACTCAACACGCATGCACCATTTCCAGGCACCCACATGTGCAGGTACAGAAAGCCCAAACAGGAACGTGACAGCCCCAGCACTGCTGCACCTGAAGTGTGGTACTTCTGCTAGCTCAGCCCTGCTTCCCATCCCCACTGGGACAGGAAAGCACGAACTGCAGTTACAGCTTTGCACAGTTTAATCAGCCTGCCACTATATTTGTGCTGATAAAACGATGCTTAAAGAGCACTGAATACCACAGGCTATCCTCAAGCAGTGAAACAGGCTCTTCCCCCAGTCTAGAGGAAGCAGCTCTACTGAGACCTGCTGCAGATGGAGGGAGACAGGGACAAAGTACAGCAAGGGTCCCGCTCTTGGTCAGGTCCCCTTGCAGCCTTAGCTGGTAGGCAGAACTCCTGCTGCAGGCCCAGGCAGGCCACAAAACAGCACTGACACCAGATAAATTCATAATAAGGCTCTTGTGCCATGGTGCAGATACACAGTTCAAGCTGCTTTCCCAACGTACTGCTCTGAAGCCTTCAGGCTCACAGCAGGTCAGACCATCACAGCTCTGTGAGCTATATATTCATTCCTTCAATGAGTAAGGAGTAACAAACTCCTTCAAACTAACCTGGCTCCATCTGCTCTTTGTGGGCAATGGAGATACTGTGCATTGCTTTGTAAGAGCAGAGATTTGTTCCAGGGTCTTTAGACAAGGGCATTTCCCTCCCTACGGCTGTGGGTTGTGCAGCAGGCTACCTCACCAGAAAGGGATGTCTCCCTGCAAAGGGAGAAGTAGCTTAGCCCTTATGGAGTGTCCAAGCCACCTTTGGACTTTAGCTCTGCAGAAACGTACAGAGGAAAAATATAGGCCTGAGAAGCCTAGGTCAACATTGCCGTCTTTAGCAAAAGAGGGGTGACAGTCATTTTGGATTAACTGGGAAAGAGAGCATGCGGCAGTTGGCAAGATTGCAATGTGGTGGTCTACATCCATGCAGGATTTCCTGCCGTGTAATAGGACAACCCATTTGCTAGGCTATCTCGCAATAACTTTGTGACAGTGCTATAAAAACCAGTATAGATTTGGTGTAAATATGAGAATGACCTACTTTTATTACACTAAGGAAATATGTTAGGAATAGTTTGCAAAACAATAATAAACTTGATAGATTAAAGTATAATAGTCACATCTAAGAGAGTGCTCTCTTGGGCTTTCCCTCGTGCAATGTTTATTATTTTCCCCATCTCCCGTGTGTCCAAAGAATAAACCACATTGCTTTTTGCTGCTCCTGGTTTCTCACAATGGTATCTCTACACTAGAACATCAGGTTTGTTTATTTGCTTTCTAACTGGGGAGACAGACAAGTTGATTGCACGAATCTTCTTGAATCTACCAAATAACAAGTGTTTAATTCAACCCAGTGAATATGATTTTAATCTGATCTTCCTCCTTGGTCCTCCTGGAGATACAATCACAAGCACGCTGCATGGAAAGTGCCTGGGAAGGGGAGCAGGGATACACCTCCAGGGCCCACCCCATGGCACAGCTCTTATTCCTCTCTTCATCCACAGAGCCCAGAGGTTGGCTGGAGACTCTTTTGGCTCCACAGCCTCCCTCCCTGAAACCTGGTGTGCTCTCAAACCAACAACTCCCGACCTCCCAGTCCTGCCACATGGAAGGTGAAGGGAATTCGCTTGTGATAAACACTCACCTCTTTTTGCTCCCTCTGCAGACACAGCTCTTCTGTTTCTTCCATTAGCTTATCTGCAAACACACACACACACACACAAAGGCCAAATGCAGAGAAAGGCAATTTACATCCTGGGGATATTTATGAGTATGAAACCCTGACTGTTTGGAGCTTGAAATTGCAGCATTCCTTATTGATTGCTCTGTGTGTATCTGTCTGGGAGACTCCAAAGGCTGAGATGACACTAATGAGATGTTCTGTAATTTCCCTCCTGCCAAATAACTTAATAAAACTAAACAACCATATTGCTGTGTACTCCTCCTAAGGTTTCCTCTCAGTGTTCTTAAAGAGCATTAACGAACTAACCTTCGCCATCCTCTAGCTGAGTCAGGAAAATACCCTTATCTCTGCTTCACACATGAGGAAGCAAAAGCACAGAAAGGTTAAGTGGGTGCCCAGGGTCGCACACTGAGTAGCAGCAGACAGTTCTCCTCCTGCAGTTCAGTGCCCCATCCCTACCCGCCCAGCACATCACCCTCTCCTTCAGCCCCCTGAGCATCACTACCAGCTGCCTACTGTCACCTTTAGATGTCCCAGCCAAGCCCAGAAATCAATCCCCGAACTTAGCCACAAAATGTTTTGCTGTTAAGAATAGCTCCCCTCAACATCGGTTGCTCTTGTCTACTGAGGAGGGCACATGCCCACCAGAGACCCTGCTCTGATCCTTACACTGTGACCTGATGTACCTACATTGTGCTATGCTCTAACCTTAAGCAGAGGCTCTGCCTTAGGCAGCTCTTAGTCATGTTTACAGGGAACCAGACAGAAATGCATTCCTCATAATTAAGCCTAGGGTTTAGCTCTCAGCTCTGCCACCCGGCTGCCACGTGAGCAGGGGCAGATTCACTGGAGCACTTCAAGATTAAGTCGTCCCCTTATCAGGTGAGGAGGATGCTACCAGTTTCCTTTGTACTGGGCACCCAAAGAGATGACTCCTGCTGGCAGGATTACTACTGCTAGGAGGAATGCAGATCTCTACTACCTCCTGCCCATGGCAGAACTCCTGTTATGTTACTAAAGCTCTGCTGACCACCACTGCTGCCTTTCCTTCCCTGTCTCACTCTTCCTCCTTGCCAGGACCCAGCCCAGCTGCACTGTAATTACACAGAGGCTCTCCCACCTTCCTTCTTCTGCCCCTCCTGGGGGTGGGAAGCCCAGGGCTTGATGGGCTTCTGCAGAGTGCCACCCTGAGAGAGAAACCTGGATCCCAGCTGGGTGGGGGGCAGGTGGAAGGTAAGGCTGGGGAGATCCAGGGAATTCCCCAGAGCAGTGTTTGCTTCCTCCTGAGAGCCTTGACATGCTGCCAGGAGCAGTGCCTGACCTCAAAACTTAACTACAGGATGGACACAGATCATTGAAGGTAAGGCTAATGAGGTAGAAGCCTCAGCAGTTATGGAGGAATAAATAGACAATTGCTGTCAAAAGAAAGTAACCAACTGTGACAATTGACCAGCTCTGAATGTTCTTGTCATAGACTAAAGAACCCAGTAGAATATATATTTTATATTCCAAATATCTCCTGTTTGCCACAGAACGTGTATTTCTCTATTCCTCCATCACCTTGTCTTTTGTCATACTGTGGCCCTCTTTAGTATCTTAGGCTCTTTAGTCTGCCCTGGCGATTGCAAAATAATGTTTTGACAAAACTTTCCTGTTTCTAACTTTCCTTCTGTCTGTCCAGGTCCTACTCAGCACTCCCTATTATCCCTTTGTCAGGTGTGGAACCACTCCACCCTGCTTGCCTCCCATACAAGCCCATCCATCAGCTCACACATGTGAATGGCACTTAGATGGCTAGAATGAACATGCCTTCATAATTGAATTATGATCACTGTTACACGTGACACCATATACTGAGGTCACCCCTGATGAGCATGGATGCAGAAATGTAAAAGGATCTTCACAATTCCTCCAGTGGCTTGATGATTAGGAGTAGAGACACAGGAGCCCCTGCTCAAGGCATCACCAACCTGAAAGCACACAAAGGTGCCACTAGCTTGTTTAGAGTAGATGACTGTAGGCAAATCATTGGGCTCACACATGTGACCAGCAGCTCCCAGGCCAGAAGAGCTGTTATGCCTACCTTGGGGAATGCTCCAAGTTAAGAGGCATCCAGGCTGAAGAGGCTGCTCGCCCTTGGCTCTTGCTATAGGCGATATGGGGAGAGGCAGCTGGACCTCCTGAGGCAGTCAGGAGGGTACTGCCATCCAGAGGCTTTTTTTTAAGTAGGGGATTGGACTAGACTACCTCCAGAAGCCTCTTCCAACTTTCTGTGTTCATCTGGAGCAACTGCTCTCTCTCCCTTGCCCACAGAGAGAGCAATGACAAATTAGCTACTGCCATTAGACACCTCAAACAAGCTTATGTAAATGCTCCCACTGTCAACATCAACGGTGTGGGCAAATGCAGACAAAGACCAAGTAGGGTAAGACTGAAAAAAAACAGCTAGAGGAGGAAAACTCATGCAGGAAAAGCTGTGATCAGCCTCAGAAATACCAGTCCTGTGTGATTCAGGGTGACAAGGGTATTGGCTGTTTGCCTGGTGAGCAGCTGAAATCAGCACATCCAAACTTCTCAGGGGCAGCAAACGTTTGTACAGTCCAGCCATCCGGAGCTGCAGGACTGCAGCATGCTGGCCAAGGCACATTCTTCCTTTCACACTCCACACAGATATCCAGATCCTACCTTAACATTTTCATGTTTTGAGTCCCTTCAAAATGTGAATTTCAGCTGCTGCCTACTCAAAAGCTTCATCCAGTAAAAGTCAAGAGCAAAAACTGTAGCTGCTTGGCTTGACCACAGTGACAACTCCAGGAAAGCAAACTGGCTATTTTTGGGTTTATGGCTTTTGGAAATAAGAGTTTCCTACCTAAATACTCCTGTTTCTCCTTGGCCAGCTGCAGTCCTTGGGCTTCCAGGCTCTCAATCATGGCTTCTCCCAGCTGGGCATTCTTCCAGGTCCTAGGGAGAGCAAATACAAAGCAGACAATGTAAGAGAGCTAAGGGTCCCACAGATTGAGGCAGGGGACTCAGCCTAGCAATCTACCAAGGAATTCAAACACACAGACTCTCATCTGTTGGGACAGTGATTCTCTAAATGTTTCTCCACAAATGAACTGGAGAATTTTCCCTGACATTCAGTAATTTTTTTTTTTTAAATACAGGAGCTGTATGTCAACACCACACAGCTATTCAAATGCTTTTTTCCAGCGTTTTGGAGATTTCTACACTGAGCTTAGTCTTAAGGGCTCTCCAGACCAACCCAGCACTTGCACAGCCTCCAACTGCAACAGGATGTACCTGGGATGCATTAAATGGATCCCAACAGACTTTAGAACCAGATTTTAGCTTTTAATTCAACTACCTTCCCATTTGCCAGTGACATTGTCTTCTGCAGCCTTTCCAATATTTTGCTGCTTTAGCCATTCTTCCCCTTCAAACATTAACCATTTATTGACTCCTTCCCATAGCCTTCTATCTTCAGCCTTTCTGGTATCCATCATCCATCCACCCTGGAACCAATCAATCCCTCCTCTGCTAAACTTGTAAGCCACCAGGATTTGGTGTCTGTCCCTACACTGTGAGTTAAGTGCCTCTTCCTGTAAAAACAATGAAGAACAAGAGATAAAAGCCAGACAAGATGCTGGCAAGTAGACAGAGTTAAAGGAAGCAGGTGTATTCAAAGAGTACCTTGTGTTATTGTAGGACCACTGGCCATCTCAAGGTCTCTTGAACACATTATGAAACTAAACTGCAAAAAAAGGCCTGGGGAGCAGATGCCCATTACTGATTGAGTTGATGGGCAGGGTAGGCTTTAACGCAGATATTAAATAACCAAGGACAAGGACATACAAATCAAAAACAGAACCAGAAATGGAGTTTGTAGATCACTTCTATTCATGTTCCATTAGAAAAAATATCTACACACATAAAATACATAAAATGCACACATAAAATTCAACACAATCTGTTTCTATAGATGCACATACAGGAACAGCAATTGCTGCCCAGAAAGTCTGCCATCTTTGTTAAATCCTAGGGGAGATTGTTAATATTAAATACCTGTAAGCCTTCCTGTACCAGACCTCTTAGTGAGCCATTTGAAATTGTAGCTTTTTGGAAACTGTTAAGTTAGCAACCCCTTATAAAACAATTTCAAGGCAACCTGTACTTCATCTCTTACAAAAGCCAGACAAATATATTAAACACACATCACCCCAGGGACCAGGCAGCTCGCAGCTCCAGCAGCCCAAGCACTGCCTTGTGGTCTTTGCAGACAGCTGGGTTTCTTTTCAGCTAATGAGCATCTAGGATATTTCTAAAGTGCAGAGGAAATTAGAACGCTAATTAAAAAGGTGATGTTTTGCCCACAGGTAGACATCTTCATCTTGAGTGAGAACATGTGGGTGCGAATGTGTTTTTCTACGAATGCTCTCTGATACAGGATGAATCTGATCCCAGAGAAACCAACAGCAAACAGCTCAAGGGGACAACAATGACTACAACAGAGTTTATCATACCATTACTTGGAGGGTTTCAAAACAGCTGTAGCCTTTAAGGTATCTGTTTATTAGATTCACTTTTTCAGTGCTCACTCCCTTCCCTAGCCTAAAAAGATGTTTCCCTGTCTGTAACTTAAAGGTTACTACACCCACTGCTGTATAACTTAGAAGATGCGCCCATATCACTGTGTAGCATTTAAGCTGTTTTTTCCTTTTCTGCTGGAACCAGTGCCGGGGTGTAACCGCAGCAGCGGGGAGGTACAGGCTGTAACTTCAGCTGAGGGGTGAGCAAGTGCTTTTTTAATTTTGTACTTCTTACCAAGTAAGTTTTCACCAGAAAAAGCCACATGGCTTAAAGTGCTGGAAAGTACAGGGTCAGGAAGGCTCTTGGGACAAGTAGAAAGCACCCTTACAACATACTTCTGGGAAGAAAAAAAAAAAGCCCAAAGCTATACAGTGTCTCCATTTGCTATACAGCTCAAACATTGTCTATTCCAGTTCTTTTGCAGCACTGGGAACATCTCTCTAGCTTTGCCTGCATTTTACCTTTCTCAGGAGCATCCACAACCAGTCTTTGGAGACACTTAGCACCTCATGGCCCCCAGGACACATGTACTATGTTACCTAGTTCTCTCTAGGTAACAGCCCAGGATGGATGATCAATTGTATATTTATGGGGATGAGGAAAGAGGGGACACAAAGGTAAGGCCACCCAAGGAGACAGGCTATATGAAGGTAGGGCTGCCTAACTAGAGGGTGTGAGGGTCAAGAAAGGAAGGAGCGTAGTTTTGCCAAGGGCCTAAAGGAGCAAAGATGGGAATTGGTTCTTATCCAGCAGCAGCCACAAATATCTTCCAGAAAACAAGAGAGAACCAGGACAACCCAATTTTTTCCTCCTTCTCCAAATGCCAGGTTATTTTTTTTATGCCAGTCACAAAATGGCCCCAGCAGAGTGTCACAGGTATGCACACAGTATGGCAACTGTTAGCACATTCCTGAGAACAAGCACTCAGCATTATTCTCAGCTGGGTTCAACCATGTCCTAGTTCATGCCTTTCTCCTGACAAAAAGCTGTGGTGATCTAGAGTTTGGGTTTTTTTTTTTCACCACTGCCCACCAAAGACTACTTTTAACCGTGCAGGGAACACCACTATGGACATAGAGAGCGTACGTGTGCCCCTCTCCCAGACTAGCAGCAGCAAAAGCCTCTCTGGGTGGGAAGAAAGCCTGGGCAGCTGGGAATCAGGGCTTTGTGCATTTCTGAAAAGCTTTCAAGATCTGGCAAGTGTGATAAGTCCAAGCTACAACATGTTGGAAGTGTGGAGACACCATCAGCTCCCCTCCACATCAAACAAGCGGTTTCCCTATCAATCCAGGAGGCTTGGAAAGGAGTGAAGAGCTGAAGGCATCACTGAGCACACTCTGATGGTGGAGGTAATAAGCAGTTGTACAGGCATGCACACACACCCACCACCCAGCCCCAGATGCAACGAGGTAGCAGACAAAACTGAAACAAAGGAGAGATGATAGAGGACACTTCCCATCCTGGCATCCTAGGTTCATTTTTTCCTCTTCCTCCTATTGAAGAAAATCTCAGTCTATGAAGTTGGAGTTTTTTGAGGGTAGGGCTTTTTTTTCCTTTGGTTGGTTCTAAATAATGAGGGAGACTATAGGATGATCACAATAAACTGTAAGTGCTGCAGTGCCATCAGCAGTACAACCTCCGTCTAGGAACAACAGAGTGTTAAAACAGGTTGCGTAGAAGATTTCAGCTGTGTCCTTTTAGCTTTCCCATTCACTGCAGATCAATTTACTGGCCCACGCTGTGCCTTTCTGGCTGCTGCTTGGCTCTGAACCTGACCCTGCTAACACAAATCACATAATCTGTGCTTTTCCTTACATGCAGGCTATCATCAGCACTGATTAAGCCAGCACTGGAGCTGCATCGCTCTCCTCCTCTGATGCAAGAACAGAAGCAGAGAGGGGAGGGAAGGGGGTGTCACAGGCAGATTTTTAGCTAGGTGCAGGTAGTCTGCTGCATGACAGCAGCCACCTCTCTAGCTCCTGTTTTAAACACTAGTGCTGGAATATTGGAGCAAGGACTAGAGAAAAGGCTGGCTCTAAGAAATGAGCAGCAGCACAGGGCTTGCTTGTGAGAACCCCTCCTGAGCTGTGCAGCCACACTCCTTCCCTCCCATACACACTTGAAAGATTAATTTGGCCCCCAAATTATTGTCCTAGGCAATAGTTAAGTCTAACATTGGTGAAGGAAAGTGCAGACCTCAAGGCCTGAATCTGGGTCCCTCCTCCTCTGCAGTGGCCAAGCCTGCTCATCCTGAGTGGGTGACAGACCTCTGCCTGGGTCTTGTGTCCCATGGGGCTCATGTTCCCATGAAGCTTTAATGGGCAGCTTCATGTTGCAGTTCATACAGTACTATGGAGGTAACTGAACTTGCTCCAGCACCAAAACCAGGCTCACTGCAGCAGCACAGAGCTTGGCTTGGGCTGATGCACTGTTAACACCATGCTCCCCACTAATTACAAATGAACATTTTCAGCCTCATAGTGTTGGAATTAACTGAGATACCTCCTTTACCATGCATGCCTGTACGCACACACTGGTATTACAAGTTAAATTTGCCTGAAAGAGCAGCTTTTGTCCCTACAGTCACAAGAGATCACATACATACATTGTAATGCAGCCAGGAAGGGCAGAGCAAAGGGCTTGTTGCTTTAAGTCTCACAGCTGAATAGTAGGCTCTGCCCTACAGCTCTGGAAGTTTCTACCTGTCTTAGGAAAGCCAAACCCCTTTTTAAGTACTACATCTTCCTGCGTCTGCTGAGATTCAGAAAGCCTGCTCTAGCAGGCAAGTAAAGGTCTCACTAGTCTTGGGGAACTTCTCTGCCTCCCCGTAGTCCTTCTAGTCAGGCTTTTTCCTCTTTATCCTTTACACATCTACAGAGCAGATCAAAGAGAATAAGGAATAGAAAGAAGCTTACACTTTTCCAGACTCCTGTAGCATCTCCAGCCACTGAGCCTGCTCAAACTCTGATTCGGCTGCTAGAACAATGTTACCCTAGAAGAGGGGAGGGGAGGGGGAAAAAACACCCAGATTAGAGAGGCTGGTGCCTTACACACCTCTGTGCACTAACTGGACACAACTGGCACAGCTGTGGCAGGACGGCCCGCCACAGGCTTCCACCTCCATGGGAGACATCACACGAGAGCAATTATGCCCCAGGCCTAACACACATTCTTGCTCGGAAAGAGATGCACAAAGCAAGCGATCACAGTAGGAATAAAATGATAGAGCAACATGAGCTCTAGGGCTCCTGAGTATCTGCCTACTGGTCTGTTAGTATCATAAGACCTGCTGTCAGAAAGAGCAAGTTTCTTTGTTGGTTGTCAAAGCAGGAGCAGCAGCAAAGCTTTGAGGGGACTTAGGATGCTAACCTACCCTTTCTCAGGATAGTCTGTCCAGAGAGGGTAGGTACACATTGGTGGGGTGGGAAAGACCACCAAACTAGCTCTGCTCATCAGCAATGAAATGTTTTGTGGTGTTTGGTTGGGTGGGGGGGTTTTTTGAGAAGAAAAGATATCTACTTACATGGAAGTCTTCATGAGAGATCTTTATGGCATAAGGCATGTTGGGCTCTTCTTTGGGCTCCACGATGCAGCCTCCCAGGGGTATGACACCCTGGGGATGAACCAGAGCACTCCAATCAGTCAGAAAAATCAAGTATAAGTATTAACTAACCAGGAGCTGAACTTTCACCCTTGGTCACTTGTGGGCCCATGCCCTGCCTTGGCTATCCCAGGAGGGGCAATACACATAGTTTCTGAAGAGCAGAGGGACTCCCACCACCACCAGGAGACCTCCAAGCAGTATCTGAAAGGGGGTAAAGATGGGTCTCCTGCATTCAGCTTGGAGGGAAGGCTGCTAGCTAGAACATGGAAGTGGGAGCTCTTATCAAGCAGGAGGTGACCTCCCAAGAGGGGCAGGTGTTGCAGAGTCACAGTGCGGTAGCATGAGAGAGGTTGTGAATCCATTACAGTCACCACCAGTAGGTCAACACCCCACACGTGCTGTGTGGGGAGGGATGGGTGGCCTGCAGCCCCTAAGTGGGCTGCGTGAAATCAGCACCTTTGGAACAACATGTGCTCCATCAGCCTGCAGTGACTACAGAGGCTAAAAGCCTCCGAGCACAGAGTCCCCCCGTGAGAGCTCCAGGCGGCGGAGCTCCAGAGGCTGCTTCTCAGGGCTGAGGGCACGTGGGTTAGCAGGCTGGCTGTGATCACTTACGAGTGCGAGTACAGGTTAGGAACAAGCAGCAACCAAAGCTGTTAGCCCCACCTCTGGCTCTGCCAACAATATTCTCTCATACCCACAAGATTAGTTGATTAGGAGATCATGAAAACTAGTGGATACATCTATTATCAGGCAAACAAATATTAAAGTCATGTACCTGCTGAATCAGTATGGAGCCTGAAGAGGTACTGACATGATTCTTGCTTTTTTGAGGCTTCCCTGGATCTATGAGACGTTTGTGGCTTGCCTCTTCTTCATTTGCTGGGCCCATGGCAGGGGGGAAGCTAGAAACAGAATAACCCCCTCTCCCATGCAAACACTGCTCACCTTGGGGTGGATGTTGAAGTATTTATTGCTTTCAAAGCTCTTCTTCTCACTCTCAGCATAGTAGAGCAGGAAGCTTTCTTTAATGATGAAGAACCTTTAAGACAGAGAAAGGCAATAAATTCTGCTAGAACAGAGGTCATGGTTCATAGCGCAATAAAATCTGCACCTAACTAAAGCTGCTTTCTGAACAGAAGAGTTTACTGCTCCCATCCAAGCCTAAGGTGAGGTGCCTCACTCCTGTTCATAGCCAACTCCTAGTGCTTAACACCAAGCACTGAGTTCAAGTGTTTTGTGCTTGCAGTTTACCACAGTAGTGTTGAAGGCAAACTGTAGCATCATCTACTCACAGGGGAACAGGACGGCAGTCGGTGTCCAAGACAGGAGCACAGCCAAAGCCTTTTGGCATCTTGACCTGTGCGGGCTCTGTCTAGCCCACGTGTTGGATCCCGCCTATTGGAAGAGAGCTGCTCCTCTTTCTAAGGGTCTCTCTCACATGGGCTAAGAGCAACTAAAAGCTTTTTTTTTGCAATTTACTCCCTGCCGCCCTCTTTCCTCCTATCTTGGCATAAGCCAGAAAGGAAGTGTTCCTACCATAACAGCGAGTCATATGGCAGGGAGTCACAGGCTAGCATCCCCAAGCAACTCTCAAGGCAAAAGATTGGCCATAAGAGCACTCAGGAGCAGAAATAAATTTTAGAGATATTTTTAAGCCGAGCTCCTGGCAAAGTCACCTGTCATTGACCTTTGTAAATGCAAAGGAAATTGAATTTTTTTTCTCATATATGTCACATTAAAATGTGCCTTGTTCTGCTCAGTTAGCCTTAGGTATGCTCTGATGAACACTGTATAGTTGCCACAAAATATCACAGCTTCTGGAAATGAAGCCTCTAACTTACTGGAATTTTTTTTCTCATATATGTCACATTAAAATGTGCCTTGTTCTGCTCTTCTGCTCATAGCCTTAGGTATGCTCTGATGAACACTGTATAGTTGCCACGAAATATCACAGCTTCTGGAAATGAAGCCTCTAACTTACTGGAGCATGTCCTCAAAATTGTGATTAAAGGAGTGCCACTTTTAGCTTATTTGGATGTTCAAAATACCCCTGGGAGAATCCCTCTTCTCTTCAAAAACTGAGGTTGCATTTACCCTGCAGGCATTGGTACAGGGGAGAGATACCTGACTTAGCTTAAATTCAGTCTAAATCTCTGCAGCACTAAAAAATGCTGAAGAGCAGCTGAAAAGATGGGGACTAGTTTAGTAGTAAGGTTTCAAAAGAGTAAATGACAAAGAAAATGTGTTGCACTGTTCTGTACATATTTTATGATATGAGAAGGGAGGGATTTGGAAAGAAAGCAAAAGGCAATAAGCTCAAAATTAATAAAGAATGCCTTTTTACACTGCACAAAACACTGCTGTGTAAATCACTTTCATGTGGTCCCGAGGACAAGAGCTCATGAGGAACCTGGAAAGCATAAGGCATTTCTGCAAATAATGAGAACATCCCCAGGAAAGCCTCCTGCTTCTGGGCAGAAAACCTCCACTGAGAGGGATCAGGAAGAGACTTCTGTGGGCAGCACTTTCCAGTTGTGCAGCCCGGGGATTCCTGCACCTTTTTCTGAAGCCAGTGTTAGAGGTAGGCTACAGGATGAGAGGTCTGATCCACAAGAGCAATTCTAATACCTCCAGGTGCCCATCCCACCCCAGTCCTCTCCTGAAGCAGAGGGCCCATCAGATGGAGCCAAGCGCTGCTGCCACTACAGATGAACACAGCAATTTGGTACCAGTTTAGTGCCTAAAGCTAAAGAAAGAAGTTGAAGCTGGCAGAGAATTATCATTATAATGTAATATCTTATTATTAATAATCATTATCATAATTATAGTCGGGGGAAAATTTTAGCACTTCCACCAGCTCCTATCTCTTGATGTTCTGCTGTGGGTCTGGCAACATAGCTGAAATTGCCACATGCTGTGGAAACATGAGCCATGGGCTCACAGAGGGACTGAAAAACACAGGACAAAGCCAAACTTCTGAATGCCTGCAGCAAGCTCGAGCTCTGCACCTACTGTGCACCTGCTCCAAAATGTTTAAAAGTGACAGTCATCAAACATGCATATTTACATCCAGAAATCTTCAGAACGCACAAACACCAGCAGTAATTATTGTGCTCCAAGTTTCTTCTTCTCCTTGCCCACTCATCTATACCTGTTCATGTTGACATCAGGGGTGGGGAGAAGCCAGCTTGCTTCCTCAGCAGGACACTGTCTCCTCATTTGATACTCTGGGAACATCATGGTTGACTGCCTAACCTCACCTCTTGTTCCTGACCACAGCCTGGCAAAATCTCTCTAAGCAGAACAGCAGAACTCAGCGCAAAAATTACTCTTCTGCACTGAGCTCATTTAGTTGGTAGAGGACTGAAAAGGTGCTGATGCACAGTGCATGAGCATCAGCAAGTTATCTGAGTAGCAGCAATTACTAATCACCTTCCACCCAGGGGACCATCTCCCTTCCAGCCAGAGCTCCTGTCCCAGTGCACCTCCCAGAGGAGCTGCACCTAATGTCCCCTTCAGCTGGGAAGGCAATGCGTGACCCCACCTGTGGTGGCTGTCCATACTCTCTCTGTATGATTGTAAGAGATGCCTAAGATGGACAGGGAGATGGACTGTCTGTGGGGCACAACTTGCTTTCCCTGCGATGGGAATCTCCATTGTAAATCTCTTGCCAGCATCATAGATCAGGGACCAGAGTGGTTTCCTCATGACAGCAGGCAGGGTTGGGAAGGAGCATCCCAGAGAAGGTGGGGGCCCAAGCTGCTCAGAGAACTTTGAGACACTGGCCCATTTAGCAGATCCGGTAGGCACACCTCTGTGGGACACATTACTGATAAGAGTGGATCATCAAGGTTTCACCTCTGGGAAACAAAGACTGGTACTTTCAGATATATTTGCATTAATTGCAAAGGCAGCCACCACCCCTGCAGCAGGCTCAGAGCTGACCCTGGCCAAGGCAGATATCAGAGAGCTCCACAGAGTAGAAAGGCCTTGTTTCTGGTTCTTCCTCTCCACATCACTTCTGTGAGTGCAGACAAGGCTGCTGCCTTGTGCCTTCCTGTTTTATTTTTCCTCCCATCTCTTGTCATTAACTCTATAAGAAAGTTTTCTTAGGAGTAGCTGCATTTCACTTTATGTCTCCAGTGCTTAGTTCAATGAGGACTTGATTTTTTAGAGGGACATGTTACCTCATCTGCACACTAAATACAGAAATAATATATTTAAAGAACAATCCTGCCTGGCCAATGGCCTGTGCTCGGTCCAGTGGGTCAGAATGAAACAGATACTGTGGACACAAATACGAAATTAAGGAATAAAAAACAACACACCACATGAAACGGAGAAAGTCTATTCAACGCTGTCAGTCTTTTCAGTCTGAACAACCTTGAAAAACATTTGTAAGACAGGTAAAGATACTGATCTTTAACTATGTGTGATTTTTAATCTAAATGTTAACCCCCAGTTAAAGCTAGGCTTCAGTTTGTCACATACTTTTTGTCTGCTCGGTGCCCCTGATAATCCCTGTATTATAGATTATGCTCCAGTGGAAACCAAAACCAAAACCAAACAAGAACAAAGCATAGCACAGATCTCCAAGAATTGATGTGGCTCTGGCAGATTAATGAACTTTTAGATCCCTGACCTTACAGATGTGGAGAGAATCTGGGGATTTGGAATGAAAATGTACAAAATAAGGGTTTAAAAAATAATAACAAAAAAATCCCACAGCAAATAACGAAGGAAAAACATTGAAAATCTGTTTAGCTGATGGATGTAATATATTTATGCTCAGATCATATTCCCTTATCTATCCTTACCTGGAAGGCAACACCTAAGCAACAAAGATCACCACTTTAACTTTGACTTTCAGGAAAGTCTCCGTACAACAATACAAGCATAATTGATGCACCACGGTGGAAAGAGGGATGAAGTGAAGAAGTAGAGGAGAAAGAGTTACAGGACTCAGGAGCAAGTTGAAGACTGAAGCAGCAGCCTGGTGAGTAAGAGCAGAAGGGAAAAGATGGCCAAGGGAGAATGAGGAGAGACACCCAGTTGGGACTGGGTGGCTGGAGACACTAAACATGCATCTGAATTAGGCACAGATGTGCCAGCAGAAGAAAACGGAGTGCTGGAAAGACAGGGAAAGGTTTTGAATACAAACAAGAAACCAAAAAAGAAGAGATTTAAAGAGAGAGCAGCATTCAAAAAGCCTGGAGAGCAGCAGCAAAGGTGAGAGAGGTGAGAAGACCTGGTACAACCATGCACACTCCGCAGGCAGCACAAGGAAGAGCCATTCACGCATGGTCAGCTCCTTTGGGTCACCCACCCCCTGTCACTAGATCCGGCACTAAGAAACCACTGATACTGCAGTGTAATTAAACTGGAATAGCAGAGGAGCAGTAACAATCCGAGTGACTTGGATGTAAAGCCAGAGACATGATCTGCCAGGATTAGACACAACAGCTCTATACTGGACAAGTAGAGATACCTGATCTCTGGGGATAAAGTGCTTTCCTCACGTCACAGAGGGCTGACGAGATTAAATAGCTAATCTTTGTAAAAGTTTTTGAAGTGACAATGACCATGTTAAGTATTTACATTATAAAACTGCAGCAGTCTCACTGGTCCTTCCTTCCAATGGTGGTTTTCTGGGCACCAGTCCAGGAGCACAGGCAGCGAATCCCAGTTACTAGATCAGCGCAGTTCTCTCTCCCTGGGGACAGCTCAGGAAAACAACGGGCAAATGATCTTTATCAGCATGTCAGCTCAGAGACCGAAGTACCTGTCCCTCACTCTTCCTCTCCTGACAGCTCCAGGCTTTCCTGCCTGCCTCCTGCCCTGGCGCCCAGCCAGGCAGGGAGCGGGAAGAGGTGGATGCTTCCTGACGGCAGCCAGCCAGGTGGGAAGTTTACAAGGATGAGAGGGAAGCACACGGTCTGCTGGACTCACAGCCCCGCTGCCTTGGCAGCTCCTGCTGCCCCTGTGCTGCACACACACACACAATTCTCTGCAGCTCTGTGCTTTCTAGGTTTTTTTAGAGCAGAAAATAGTCCTAAACAATTATCCTTTCCATCTGGCCTGTGACCACATCCTGTTGGTAGCCACTCTGCTGGAAAACAAGGTTACGTGCATGCTTTGCAGTGCCACAGCCAGGACCGGTCCAAGAGAAGTTAAAATTTCTCTTTTAACTGTGCTGTGTTTCCCTCCTTCCAGCAGCAACCTGGCATCTCTGATGGATTTACTCAGAGGTATAAATATATTTTGTGTTTTGTTCTCTGCTCTTTCCAATCCTCATGTTCCACCTTGCTTTTCTGACTCTGGTTGACCACTGAGCAGATGCTCTCCGTGAACTGTCCCCCTGAGCCCCGAAGTCTCACACCTGAATGGTGACAGTCAGCTTAGAGCCTGACATTTCTATATGGGGCTGGGATTTGTCACAGTAGAGAAGGACATGTCACTTCCTACCTGCAAAGCTACAGTGCCCCGTTCATGTCACGTCCAGGGCAGGTACGTACTTGTGCTTTTTGTTCCAGACTCCATGCCAGGCTGATGCCGTTACCAGTACAACTTTTGTAGTAGGGAAGAGACTAAACTGCTTGTTGTTAACTGGAAGGAAGAACGGGGTGCGGTTTGGTGGGAAGAGGAGGACCGTTAAGTCAAAGGCTGAGAATATGACTTTCTAAAGCCACTCCAGCAGTGACCCAAGCTTAGGCTGGTCAAAAGCACCAGTAAACTCAGAAGATGGTTGCATCTCTCTTGGAAGGATATTACTTTACAAGGAAAGAAAATTCACATTAGGAATAGAACTTCTCTTGGTGAGATGGGAGCTGGGATGCTGCTAACGGCATTTCAAAATAAAGCTCTGAAAGGCAGCGTGCTCAGACGTCAGCCCTGGCAGATAAACACAGCCACATTGGTCCCGTGCCAGAAGCACCCAACCCACTCTCGGTGAGTACCTGAGGGAGCACACAAATGCTTAAGCTGCAGGCCAGACCACTGTGTGGGCAAGGGAAAGGACTGAAAGTGCTCCAGACAGCTGCCTCGTGTCAAGTCTTGCTGTCCTCACAGGTGCCATCAGATGCCAGCCCTGACTAAAACAAGGCTCTGCTATCTCTCCCTGCTTCCTGCATAACCTCTTCTGCTGTGAAATCCCCAGACCTGGGATTTCAATCACCAAAGCACTGGACACCACGCCTGGACTTTTTTCCTTCATCCATTATGCAGTCAGCCTCCATCCTTCCCTTAAACACTTGCTTTTCTTCTCAGTGGCTCCAGCAGCACTCTTGCTACAGCCAAATGAATGGGATCAAGCCAGTAAGTATCGTGCATCTCTTAACACCACGCAGACCCATCTGAATGGCTGATGGCCTGGTGGTGTGATCAATCTTCCCGTTACATGCTGGTTTATCTCGGGACAGGGAGTAGTTCTATTGTCCAGTGCAAGATTAGTTCACAGCAAAGCTATTACCTGTAAATACCAAATAGATAAAAAGTAGTAATCCCAAGATTTCAGGACAAAATCTACATTGCTCAGAGATCAGATCCTCAACTGTATCTAGTAAGAATAATTTTTTTTCTCTTAATTTAACTGGAGTGTGAAACATCTCTTTTTCACAAAATAATGAACTTGACCAGCCGTGTCTTGCTGGGCATGGGGGGGTTGGTGGGGAGAATGGATTAATTGCTCCTTATCCCCTCATAATGACTGACTTATAATAACATGCAAGATTTTTTACTTTAAAGCAAATCTCTCTTGTGATAAAAAAAATCTTATTATTCCTCCTGTTCATCTTTTTACTCCGGAACCTTCTTCCTTCCAAACCCTACAGATGCCCTGTGTTCATCTCCCACTGACCTGTCTCTGGTCCCTCAGGACCTTCAGCTGCGGCGCTTGCAGCTAACATTCCACATCATCCCTGCCCCACGGTTACCTCTCCACCTCTTCCCACCTGCTACCACTAAAATATTTACCACTTGCTGAAGATGGGGGTGACTTCTAGGAATAGAACAGCACTAAATAAATAATGACAGAGAGAGCAGAGGTGGACCATTTGCATGCAAGAAATTTTGATTAGGAAGAAAAAAGCCTTTTAAGAGTATCTCCTCCATGGCAAATTACATTCCCCTCCATTATTCTGTCCACTTTTTGTGGACAGAATGTAACGCAGTCATATTCATTTCCAGACTTAATTCATTTAAATATCAATGTTTGGGAGCTAAGTAGGGAGCATCAGCACAGATTCTCTCCTGGGTGAAAAAAGGCCATTGTTTTTGGGGGGGTGGAGTACAGAATACAACGTGCTTGCAGGTCAAAGATGGCTGCAAACACAAAACTGCTTCCCAAGCAACATTTAACTATTTTTCAGGCCATGCCATCTTCACAGGTTTAGACTGGACAGCACTGTGGTTACTACACAGAGCAAAACTGGGAAAGCTGGGTTTAGAAGTGGATTTGATGTGTTGTGTCTACACTGCAGACTACAGCAAAAAGATACCCACAAAAGGTAAGTACCAGAGGTAGCCAACAGACATTGCTCATGTGCAGGTTAATTTATTCTTCCAAAAAGCCTTGAGACGTGCTACGCTACAAAGGCTACAAAACTGCCTTTCCGCTCCAGAGGTAGCTCAGGCTTCCTGTGCTGCCTTTTGTTAATGACTCATTTGTGCCTTTCCCCAGTGGAAAGGCCAGGGGGGAAGAAAACAACATTACTCTGCTTTTCTGGCAGATTTTTTAATCTGCAGGCATCAAACTACTAAAGGCAGGTAAGTACTACTGCCCTGCTTTAATAGATCATGACAACAAATCCTGGGTCACAAAGCATATCTCTGGCAGTGATAGGGTGAAAATGCAAGTTTCTCGGCTGCTGGTCTTCTAACTGAATCATTTGCCAATGACATCTATCAGCAATGACATTAATCTGCCACCCAGGAATGCTGGAAGGCTTAATCCATTGGATCACGTACCCCCAGTGAGCAATGAGAAAGAGCTGTACCATGTTTCTGTGCAAGTACCCATCCATAAACAGTCATGTCTCATCATTTGACAACCAGCGGAAAACTCTCCTGTGAGATTCAGTGATTCGCATGAAGAAACTACACCAACTGTAAACCTCAAACTGACCCATCATTTCAGTATTACAGAACATACTTCTGTCTTTGGTAAAAGGTTATAGCAAATGCTTTCCAGCTCAAAACTTCCTGGCTGCTGCTATACAACACACAGCAGCTTACAACTCCTTAGCACCAGATGGGAGAGAATTCAGAGCCACCTTCCCCCCAGGGAAGAGAGTCTGCATTTGCTGTTCCAAGCATGCCATCACCGTCACGCAGCACAGCAGTACGGATGCTGGTCCACAAACCCCTGCAGATCACACACACGCACGGTCCCTCATGCACAGTCAGTTCGGCCCAGCCATCTCGCACCCAAAGGACTCAAACAGCTTTAACAAGTGCTAAAGAACAAAGTCAAGCAGTCTGGGGGCAAAATATATGAGCTGACTTTTCCTCTTTTGTGAAATTATCATAGGATAATTAGTTTCAACCCTCGTCTCTGCCTGGCTAGCTGCGCTTGAAGAGCCAAGCACTCAGGCTCTAACTTACCCCAGCACCCTTAGGCTTTGTATTTTGCTTGAGCATCCCTCAGCGACTGCAGCTTACCTCCTGGACCATTTGGCTGACTGCCTCCCGAAGGGTCTCTTCCAGAGCACGCCGTACAGCTGCACTTTGGTGCTGATGTCCAGAGCATCTGAATCTGCCTGCTCCATGGATGGAGAAGGTGATACCGAACTGGATTTTGAAGCAAACATTATAGATGGATCTGGTTCTAACTCTTACCCTCTGCGCGGCAGCTCAGGGAATCCGATTAAATGCAATGAACCAGACGGATGTAACCAGCCACTGCAAGCGGCAGACAGAGAGACGGGGCTATGGTTTGAATCAATAACTTGACTGCTCAGCACTCAGTCAATAATTCTCTCCCTGATGCACAGATGATGAGAGTTTCCTCATTGTGTATTACTTCCTGATGCATTACAGACAGCACACACCCCAGCCCAAGGAAAAAAAGAGTGAAAAGAGCCAGAGATCAGGAACACAGAGAGGCAGAAAGAGCTCATCAGAGAGAAAGCTCCCAGGAATAACATAAGCCAAAATACCTCTGCACCAGAACGAGCTCGGAAGGTTATTTCACTCGACATTGCAGCACCCCAGGCAGAAATCAGGGCAAGATGGATGTTTTACTGTCAGTCATCTCTTACTCTGACACACACCCCCAAAATCTTGCACTTGGAGGCAGGTTCTTCTCATTTGTCCTGAGGAAAAGGCGAGCAGAGTGGGTGGGAGCCAGTAAGTTCAATCAGATTCCCTCTGCCATCGGGAGGCTTTTGCTGTGCCAGCCTGGCACTGCCCACCCGGGTACAGTTCACGTGGCTGCCGGGTTTGGACTGGGCAGTGTCCACGCTGCACGCCTTGCTCAGCCTTAAAGGGCCATTGCTGATCAAAGTTAGAGGATCAAAATTCTGCCTGCTTCTGTGCCTTGCTGCATCTTGATGCGGCAAGCACAGCTTCTGCCCTCCCCCTTAGGTACCGGCTCTTTCTTGGCCACAGCACAGAGACACAGGAATATGTCACACAGCTCAGGTGAGTCTCCATTCATCTCCTGCTTAGTACTCCTGCAACAAGCTTTTTATTCTGATTCCCTAAATCCTTGTTCCTCTCTTGAAACTCTCCCTCCCTGCATAGATACAAACAGTCCTCAAAAAGATCCCGTCTTTTGTAATGGCCACATGAAAGCACGTTAGCATCATATGGTTCCTTCCTGCACCCTGCCTTTCCTCCAGGATTAGGATTTGGGGAAGAACTGCCTGCATTATGCCTGGTAAAGCGTCTGGAGTTTTGGGGGATACCCTAAAACCATTGGTTATTTTATAACCAATGCAGACACATACATGCTGTGAGGCATCTGCTCCTGTTTTGACCTATGCCATCCTATGCGTATCAATGTTGATGCTATGATTGCCAAACGTCATCCCTTCCCAATGCAGTTATTCAGAAGTGACACTGCAGACACAGAGTCTTTTCTTATTCCCGGAGATTAGAAACCTGGGATGTGCCGTAGGCTAGATCACAGCACTGGACACAGGCCCACTTAGCTTTACATGGTCACAGGCACTCGCAAAGCATCTTAAATAGAGGAAACGCAGACTGCTGCCTCAAGCTCACTGGCTGCATCTGGTACTAGGGAAATTATAGATGCAGGTCCCTGATAAAAGTCAGTATTGATCGCTAAGTGAGGGAGTCAGCAAACTCAGTGCTTTGTTACTTTCTCTCACCCTGGCTTTGACTGGCCTTTTGGTTCCAGACAGGACATGTCCCAAGCAGCAGCAAATCCCATCTCAGAGTGACACTAGGGGAGAGGGTGGGGAACAGAGAAGAGCAGCAGAGATGCCTCCATCTCACCTGAGCCCCAACTCTTGAATACAACCCTGCACTGCAGAAGAGAAGTATTAATACTGTAGTGACCGTTCCACACGCTGCACTGAAAAAAAATGCTACTCATAATCAGGGTTTCAAGAGAGGGAAAAGTTTCCCTGGAATTATGCTGCACAAAGGGCAAAAAGAATTCTGGGGCGCAAAACACCACCTTAATTTATAAATGCGCAATGAAAAGCCACAGAGCTCCCATGTGAGGACGATCCAGTGCCCCTGCCATTGTCCTGCAGCAGCAATGCAAAGATCTGATAGCAGTGGCCTGCAGTGAGGAAAAGCAGGTTTTCATCTTTTGCTTCTTTACTTAATTTTACCTTGCAAAGACCAAGAGAGAAAAGAGGTCTCCAGTGTCAAACATCAAAAACGCAGATATCGTCCCCTCTGGAAACTAGGACAAGCAAGGGACTGAGTAGTCATAGCAAATTCTTTAGAGTGGGCAGCTCCAGGAGAGGGAAAAAACAACTTGCTTTTGTAAAGTCACCAAGAGTTAAACATGGGCAGGAGCTAGCAATACTAGGGCAGTAAACAGCAGTGGGGCAAGTTCTGTAACTGCTGGTGTCTGGACAAAGTAATTTATAATAACAGTGGTTAGTTAACATTTCCTTTACATGTGTACTACTCTAAATGAATTGGGGCCCTGTCTGAAGGAAAGAGCAGGAGAGCAACACAACAGGTCTAAGCAACTTGCCTCTCACAAACAGAAGGTAATGGCGTAAGGGCCATCTTAAAGGTTCTTCAATGCTACTTCTGTCTGATGCAAAACTTACTTCAACTGGCCAGGAACTTCAAGGTCAAAAGAATGGTGTTATAAAACCCAGCCAAGAGAAAAGGGTCCATCACAGGGTGCGTAGGGAGAGTCGGGTCCTGCAGAAGTGCCTTCTCCAAAGTCCAGGGGACACAAATCCTTGGGGAAGCACAAGCAGACTTGGTTTTGCTGTAAGATCTTGGTGAAACCTAACAGCCCAAAAGCACATAGACATTTATACAAAGATAATACATTTGTATTTAATCTGGGGGTTCATAATTTAATAAGGGCAGAGAAAGGAGACCCGAGACCCCTGACCTTAGCAGGACAATCATGTGACTCCAGCGCAAAAAGAAAAATGCAGTTGTGGTCTGCAATACAAGTGAAGGCAGACATAAGCCCTTGTATCAGACCCACACGAGATCCCTTCTGTACGGTTCTGGCCAAACAGATTCCCCAGCCCTGAAGAGATGCAGAAAAGGACTTGAGGGATGATCACAGGTATAGTTAACCCATAGTATGACAGGAAACTAAAAGGATTTCACTTGTTTAAATGAGAACAAAGGGGAAAATTTGACTGCTGCCTAGTTTCAAGCATTGTCTCCTCTCTTAGTGTATTGGTAAAGGTCAATGCTTGCAATAACAAATCATATAATGGTTTGGGTTGGAAGGGACCTTAAAGATCATCTAGTTCCAACCCCCCTGCCAGGGGCAGGGACACCTTCCACTAGACCAGGTTGCTCTCAAAGCCTCATCCAACCTGGCCTTGAATACTTCCAGGGAGGGGGCATCCACAGCTTCTCTAGGCAACCT